CCAAATGGGCAGCCAAAATGGACAGCTACCAAAACCGTCGCACGAAGGTGCATGGTTAATGGTTTCACAAACTGGACTGAACTGTTATGTCCACAACTGTTTTCAAAGCCCTCTGATCACTTAAACTTACAGTCTCTGTCCTACCATAGTACTCATGCAAATGCGTGTTTACCATTTTTATGAGATAGAGAATCTTCTTGATCAACCAGGCATTGCATTGTTTGACCCCCTGTCTCTATATCCCTACACTGAACATTCCCCTCCCTCCCCCACACACACACATAGGAGGGTGAAACAAAGAATCCGGTGGACGAAACAATCGATTTGTTGCCTCAAGCATCCAGTCGCCGATCGACCAANTACCAAATTTGCCCAGCACTTCGACTGGGATTCCATTATTTGGAGATGCTACTAGTCGACTGGCATCGAATCGAGGCTCCAAACTCACTAAATCGATCGATAAGTTGAATGATGATACACGTATTATGCGAAGAATTATCGCGGAAGATCCAACCTATAATTTGGACACGGTGCTTTCCTTAACTGATCTCTGTTTGAAGCATTGTATAGAGAATTTTGAATGTAAGTCCGCGGTGGATGTTGTTCCTCTATTTGTACATTCGTATACGGATTCTAGATTTCCCTTTAGCAGAAAAAAAACAGTTTTCTTTGTGATCGGTGAAACAAGAATAGGAACCAATGGAGAGGTGTTTGTTTACCGTTCTAAGGGGGCTGTTCGAACAATTTTTATACTAATCAGACCGGAAATACTGTTATAGTGTATGGTTTGTTCATTTCTTAGTTTACTGATGTGAATCAATACTAAAAATAACCTCGAAAACGTTATCGATTGCCCGAGGTCCTGACTGTTATTTTGTATTTGTTTTTCTCACTGCTTCATGTTAAATTATTTGCGATGGAATTATTTGTGATGACCAACAAAGAGCACTAGACGGCCGTTTTGTCCTCATTGGGACTCGTCAGCAGTGCGGACTCTTTGTCCCCGTGTCAGGACTCGAACCGCAAACATTCGAGTCGGAACTTCAGACCCTTATCCCTGAGTTACACTAGCACCGGACTTCTCCCTGTGCCTGGTACCTCTGAACAATCGAATGGGTTAATCCAAACAATCCAACAATACTCGAAATTGTTAATAATTCCTTTATCTCTGATTTCAGTTCTTTTCTTAATTAATTGTCTCCAATTTAACCTATCAGTTTGCAACCAATATCTAAGACTTGTGGTGACCGAATGAGGTAACTCTCTATCACTGGTGTGCTATGGTCCTTAGGGCCCGAGGTTCGAGCCTCACCACCTTTGTTGTCGTCCAGTTCAATATCAGACCTATGCTTGTGGGACATTACGTGGTTCGCCCATCCCATTTCCGGGGTTTAAATTGTCGACCTCCATGGGGCACAATATTGGGTCTGTTGTTTTGCACACCAGAGTGTGTAATGCAGCACCGATATGATCACGTTTTAATACTGTTTTTCTCCTCGTTTTATTGATTAATTTTATCGAAATCTACCCATTAATCAATGTTAATGTGGAAGGGAGATTAATCTGATTAGTTAGAAAGCTGTATCTCTCTCTCGACTTTTATCACCTCAAGTATCTTCGGTTTCACCTCGATATTCACCTGTCCGTGAACGCGGTGTTGGACCCTGAAAATCAACCACTTCCTTAATTTATATCAGACAAAAAGATAAATCATTTTTATGTTTCTTTCGGTTATTCGCAGTCCTTCACACTCATCGAGCCTATTGAGATAACACAGATTACCAATTTATTTTGAGATTGTCATTCACTCTGCCATTATATGATTCCTCATAGCAAGGATTTTAACCATGCATTTTCGTATAATCTACAGTACAGAAGTCCCGAAAGCCTACTGTGTAATGATCTTCAGACTTGAAGTGATGAATCACATAATACCCGAGTCCAATAATCGTGACTTTCAACTGTGTGTTTAGATCTGGTGACCACTAGGACCACTTATTTGAAGCTAGTTTTACATTTTCTGTACACATTAGGTGAAAGTAAAAATTACCATTTGCATTAATATATATATTTATAAATTGGTTCATGCGAATCAATGATTGCAGAGAACTATAACTTGCCTTTTCTATTATTCTCTGTAGACAATTCAAAGGTGATAAGTTATCTGAATGGGAGACAACGTCGACGACTACTGGATGCCATAGCTCCTGACCTCCCGTTGAAAGTCACTTCGCACGTGATCGGCGAGGATCCATACTGGCGTCGTTGTTGTCATCAGCGTTGGGCTGTGGTCGATTTGTCTCGTCATGGCGGATCATGGAAACGGGCATTTTTCGAACGAATGCTCGAAGAAACATTGGAAACCTTTGTCCCGGGACACACGTACGCTCCTCGATTGGAGGAATGTGTGAGCTATGCGGCTCCGTATGTGCATCGGTTGCACATTCGACAGTTGTTGCCACCTCTGAAGCAACAACCGCATGATAGAGGCTCAGTGAGTGAAAACACCCGTTTGTATTAATTAGTCTAACATTCCGATTTATGCAATCGTCCATCTATGTAAATGAACGTTGACCGTTTTGGGACCATTTCGATGAATTCCAGTATATTTTTTGATTTTATTTTAATATCAGACATTTGCAGATGAAAATTTAACGTTTATGGAACATATAATACAGATTTATCCTTGGTGAATATTGGTGAATATTTTACCCTTTACTTTTGATACCATTTCCATTACTTAGTCTCATGATCATCGGCGACCGATTGGTAGATCGTGTTTTATTCAGACTACTTACTTGTAGCGTGAAACGTTTTCAGGGAAATGAATAGGAGCGTTTGTTTGTTCGTGACGTGCTCCGGAATTTTTCGTATACATGTATATGGCTATCCATATGTAGAGAAATTACATTGGATATTTTATTTCCATGGATTGTAAATCAGGAGTTGGCGTGTGTGTGTGTGTACGCGCCCTTGTTTTGTTATCCTCCATTCTCAATTATTCAAGCACAAAAGGGTACAAGTCAGTGAAAATGACTTCACATAAAAATATCCACTTTAAGTACAGTGCACCAGTGATCAAAAATGCATAGATTATTGTCCAGGATCTAGACGGAGTTCATTTACTACTGGCTCGCTCTCTCTTGCTGCTAATGATCGTCATTGACAGATAGTGAAATTGTTGTGCACATTTATGCGAGATGCAATGTGTGTTGCAATTCCGAGTGTGTGGATAGATGGAAATGTGTGGTGATCCTAGCCTACGAGATGACGCACACCGCGGAGCGACACGTTACAGTTTGCGGACAACTGTGACGAATCAAGCTTCTCGGGTGACGTCAGCAAAGTGTGTACTTGTCACAGCTTCTGGACTACAAACTATAGATCAATTGTACCAACCAATCAGAAACTGTGCGGCTCAGACAGATGCCGAACAACGCCAGAAATACTAGCACGCGATTGACAGAAGCTTGGTAGACCAATGAGCTTGTTTTATACATATTATTTGAAGCCCCTGATTTCTTTCAATACATGACGTGCTATTCCTGTGGTTTTTTCCTCGCGTCTCGGTTACATGGGATACTGTCATGCAAGAACCAATGCGATCCAGTGCTTACGTTGCGTCCGTGATTGCTATTCCGTGATTTATGATTCGTGATTCGGATTTCGGGATCAGTCCGTACTACAATTTCTACAATTACCACAGAATGACTCTATGTTCGTGCAGTGTGCCATTACGGCCTGCAAGTTGATTTATGTGATGATCAGACAGATTTTGCAATGAACTATTTACGGAAATGGAGTTTTGGTCGCTTTCTTTTGTTCAGGGGTGAGGATATACTGGTATAAGCTACCGAACAACTATCAATCAGATTGTGGCATATCATTTTGGTACCGTTATTTTTTAATGTCTCCCTGTTTTTGAGTTTTTATTTCTTTTCTTTTACTTACTCGAGACTGTAAATCAGTGCAACGATATAAATATCGTTGCACTGATTTACAGTCTCGAATGGGCATAGTAATTTACCAAGGAATTCAATGTCATTTTGATATATGTGAAGGTCACGCACATTCCAAATCTCACTCTATTAAAAGAGAGAGAGGGAATAATACAGAAGTTTGACAATTGTATCCTAACAAATGCCGTTTCCGATGAAGTTTCGGTCAGTACACAGAAGGCAAGTCTCCTGTCTGTTAGCCTGAAACAACACTAGCATTCGTGAGACGAGGTTCCATACGTGAACTATGCCGATTAGATTGTCTTCCTCTAGGCCAACAAACGAATGATGCAATTTTCTCTCACTGTATCACTTGGCGATCGAGGGTGTTGAATACCGCAAATGCTGTCCATGTGTGCTTTCAAACTGTATCCATTGTTTGGCCTTAAAATATTTCCAACTGATTTGTCCCACATCACATAGGATGACGGATCGGACGAGGAAAGTGATTCGGAATTGAGCACCGAGCCGCAATTAGTCGATCATTTGGATCTTGGCCCGGTTGTGAGCAAATTGAAACATCTGGAAGAGTTGGCTGTCTCGTACACAGTCAAAGATTGTGGTATGAATTTCGAATGGTCCATGTTCCAATTCACCAATCACGACTGTTTCAGTTTGGCCAAAGCAATCGAACACCATTCGGCTATTCGGTTTTTGCATATCACAAGGTCTGTCTGAATCCGGTGCTCTCATATTCGCTAATCGGCAGTTTGGAGTCATTTCCTATTATATGAATAAATATTTCAAGTATCATTATATTATGCACATCATTGTCGGTACCCTGATTGCTGTCTGTTATTCCCCCATCCCCACCCCTTGAAGCTAGTCATTCCTGTTGGCCGATGTTCCATTTGCAGCTACGTTGTCAGTGATGCAGTTCGAGCATCTTGGGGTTCGGTCAAAATGAAAATCGAATTCAACCTCCCCGTTCGGGAGACAATAAAATCCACAGATTTATCTGGGTTCGTCGATTTGAATGTGTGTTTTGGACGGGGCACGGGGGGGGAGTGGGGTGCGGAAGGGCGTATTTGTAAAACGATTTGATAGACCGATTGAATGGGGAAATTTCGAAGATAAAACTATTTGAAGTGCAAAAACAATGTGAATTGGTAACAGTGTAACAGGTTCCTAGAAGGCTGAAGAACTCAAACTACGAATAGGGATTCTGATGGATGAATAATCTCAGAGAGTAATGGAAAGGAATGATTATGTTATGCTTAGTCTCACAATCAAACTGTATAATCATCATGTGCTTCTATCTGTGTATAGGATCGAGATTGTTCTATGTGCGCGTTTGGTGCTTTCAAAGTTGAAAATGCTGTTTCACAGCTGAATCTCACCTGGACCAAATCACGGGGAAATTGTTCACAGGCATACTGATGATGATTACGGATTCAGCTAAATTTAGCTCACATGGTAACCCGGAACTGACAGGGTTTTCCGATCTGGTCACCTGTAGTAGTTTTACCCCACATTACCACCAAAGAACTCATCTGTCAGCAGATCGTAATTGACCAGCTTGCGAACAAGTATGGTTACAACGCATCAAGAAGAATAACAGAGAACGAAAGGGGATTGAAATACAAAACAGAGTGAGACGGAGGTTAAACAGTTTTAATGAATACCAGGAAAGCAATTTTTTATTTGCTTCACCATTTACTATTGCCATTCGTGTGTATGTGTGTTTGTTTATCGTTTTCTTCTTCGCGGGGCATGGAATTTCAACACGTAGACTGCACAGCACCACTGAGGCCATTGACTTCTATTCTGAGCAACTTTTAATACAAAATATAACAGCTGTTTACCTGTTTTCAGCGTTTTAATTGTTTAGTAACAACACATCAGAAAGATAAGTTACGTTCACGGTCTGTAGTGTCTTCTAGATTTCATTCATTACGTGACTGTACCCTGTTCGGGTTAGCGGGGTTCTATCTATTGTTCGGGAATCAAATACTGTTAACAGTTCGATGGATTACACTTGATGTGTTCTATGTTCCATACGGTTTCAATGGAAGTTAGTCCAATATACGAATGTGGACACCTGGTATCGAGCTCTACTTCCCTTCGATCACATCCAATCACCGAACAGGATAGGCTTAACCGGTTTGCTGCAAATGTCAACTAGAAATTCGGCATCTTAACTAGAGAAGTTATTATTTCAGCCCATGCTAATTGGCCGATGAAATGATTGTATCGATCTTGTACAGTCTTCTGCTTCACACTTTCAACTGATCGAACTCCCACCGGTTACACGCATTCAACACACACACACACACACACACACACACACTCGTTTTCGCTCTCACTCTGAGTCCAGAAGTCGTATGGACTCCGATCGTTGTCGTGTCTTGGTCGACTCGATTATGGATCATCCAACACTCGAATGTCTGGATTTGTCTCATAATTTTATCGGGGATCGTGGGGCCAGAGCGTTGAGCAAACTGGTCGCCAGCAGTCACAGTCAGTTGAAGACATTAAATTTGGCAGATAACCGTCTACAGGCCACCGGTGGATTAGCTTTGGCACACTCGTTGACGAAGAAAACTTGCTCCCTGTCACAACTCAACTTGCGACTGAATCGTTTGCGGGATGACGGAGGGATTGCAATCGCGAAGGTGAGCAATGGTTTTGCAATCGCTCAGGTAGTGGTTCAGTGATTCCAAGGATATCGCTTCATCAGTCGGGGTTCCTTTTAAAATGTTGAATTTTTCCTTACCACATAGAACTTTTACCTTAACCGTCAATTTTGCGTCAGGATAATTCAGTGGATCTAGGCAAATTCAATTTAAAATAGAGACATACTGTGGAAGGAACAGATCCATGGCGGATTCTGAAGTGATTCACAGGTTTTTGAATGACATTCACCAGTCACGAATCGTTGAATGGTTCTCGATCGAACGATTTCTGTAAATAGCGCTGACCTCATGGAACTCACATCCAAGTTATCCTCAAAAAAAGAACAACCCAATTGGCTATTGTGGAATGGGGATGATCTGTAATCGGGTGTTTGAAAATCTTTGCTGAGATTGACTGTGAGCCGTGAATGATTAATACACGTATCAAAAGAAAATAATTAACTATTTACGATATTGCGGTGAGGGTGATAAAGTAGTACAACCAAATAGGAAACATTTTTAAGTTCACAAGTGAAAATTAGTAGCAGTAGTAGTAGTAGTGGTGGTGGTGGTGGTGGTGGTGGTGGTGGTGGTGGTGG